GTGGTGCTGTTCTCATATTGTTCACCTGCCACTGAGAGTACACCTTGGCTGGTTCTGTGGAGAACAGCTGGTTTATTCTCCTGCCTTCTATCTCTCTGGTGTTCCTCCTCAAGCTTCTGGCCAAGGCTGTGAGTCTTTGCTCGGCAGTTTCCAAGGCCTCTTTCTGGACAGCTTGCTGTACTTCTTAAGCACCTTCTTCATTACACCTTTCTGCAGCTCCATGATATTCATGATGCCATACAGGAGGATTTCATGATTTACAAACACCTGACTTCAATAGATGGGGTGAGAAGTTTGTAAAAAGAAAAATGAGGAGGCTGAACTGTACAGATATGGAGATATGACTGAGATGTCAAAAAACATTTGCAGTTCGGTGGAATAACCACACTCATACTGAAAGAAAACAGTATCAGTAAGGCATTACAGGGATGTGTGGGTGGACAGAAACCAGCTCAAACTGTGATGCAATGGGCCTCTGCATAGCATCACGCTGTTGGTTTATGCTCCAGGAAGAACGTGAGGTCCAGGTCAGAACTAACCGTAACTACTCCTGGACTAAAGTGTGGTGGTGACAGAGGCGCCTCTGTGGCAGGACCCAGACTCTGCAATAGTCTTCCTCTTAATGTGTGACCTGCACAAACACTAACGTTTCAAATCATCAGTAAAAACACATTTTTATGGTCTGGCTTTTAACACATGTTGACCTAACATTTTGGTTTTAACAGCCTTATTTGTTGTTGTTTTAGTTGTTTTTATTGATTTATTTTATTGATTCGTTTGTTTTTCTATGTTTTACTTTAATCATTGTTCTGCATTTTATTTATTTTAGTGGCATTTTACATTGTTAAGCACTTTGAGCAGCATGGACTGTTGGTATTGTGCTATATAAATAAACTTGACCTTGACCTGAACCCAGTGTTTGCTCATAGGGGCTTGTTTCATTGTCGGGGTTTTCTCTGTATTATTGTAAGGCCTCCACCTGACATCAGAAAGCAGCATCCAAGCAGCCCATATCAGATCTACTGCAACAATCCAACCTGTCTCGGCCTGTTTAAGAGCAAGTGATGCAGTCACCAGAGTTTCCGTGTCATGGAAAAATAAATATTTCTATGAGAGTATTCTTTCAAAGTAAAAGCATTCACAGTCTTTCACCAGCTGAAGTTGAGCTGAAGACCAACAGCAATTCTTAGTTTCAGTTACGTTCAGCTCAACCTCACTGCTGCCTTTGACACTGTGGATTCAAAGGCTTTGTAACTCTGCACAGATCAACATGCAGTCAGCAATTCTCAGCGGTCGGTCTTTATCATTACTCTTTAAACTTCACATGCTCCGGCTTAGTACTGTCATAAGGACTCACAATGTTTCCTATGCAGATGACACACAGTGGTACTTATGATTCTACTCTGATGACCTCTGTGCCCTAGAGATGTGCAGATCGATCCTGAAATATCGATTCCTCCGAAACCAATCATTTATGTTCTAGAATCGATTCTCACATTAAAATATCGATATTTTAGTAATTTAGGGTAAATTTGTAGTTTATCATTAACAGGAACACAGTGGAAAGAAACTATATCACTCGGATCGTCTACACTGGAAGGAACTACTTCCTCTTCCGCCTTTCATAGTCATGTGTGAAATACGGCTGCATAGCTGTATCGCAGCCCCTGGCCTGCGCACTCACAACAATGGCTGAGCGTAAATGGAGTCATGTGTGGACGTATTTTACCTCCACAAACAGCCGAGACGCGGTTTGCGATGTGGCAAGACAGTGAGGTTTTGTGGCAGCTCCACTGACCTCGACAAACACCTCAGAGTAAATCATATCACAGAATATGACGAGCTTATGTTGAAGAGGAGGAGAGGGACAGGTGCTGCTAGGGCGAGACAGACGTCTGTCGCAGAGTCCTTTAGTGCTGAACATGCTCAAATGACACACAACTTCAGTTTTTTATTTCTATATGATAATTCTGCATTATTAAGTGATCAGAACAAGTAATCTGACGTCCTGTAATCATTATGAAGCTATAATTTGAGATACAATAAAAGATACAGTAAGAAAAAAGGTTTTGTACAAAGTATCAGTATCGCATCAGTATCGTCGATACCAACCTTAATTTTACTTCAGTGGAAATCAGTGGTATCGCATATCACTAGTGCAGGTCTGACCTCGTTCAAGGGCTCCCTGCTCGCATTTCCTCCTGACCGATAGGTGTCGCCACTCAGAAAAGCTGAGCAACAACTAACGCGTGGCGCGTGAACGAGGCTGAAACGGTCCGTTAGAGTTTAATGTGAATATAATCCCAGAATGCACCGGGCAGCTCTACGGGCGACAGGAAAGGTTTTAAAAATGAAAAATTTTAAAAAGAGAAATAGTTTTCATAAAAAAATCAGACACGCAGACGCGTTTTACGTGTTTCCGGTGACGAAGCTCCTCCCTTTCCTTTTCGCCACTTAACTTGCACGGTACGTGTGTCTGTCTCGCGCTCTCCGAGTAAAAATGTCTGAAAATGTGTTTTATCGTCGGCTGGCTGTGATTTCTGAGCCGGGCTCGTGCCGTGGGTGTGTGTGTGTGTAGCGTGTGGGGGGCTCCCGGGGTCCACGTGTGCTGATGTTAGCGTTTGTGTCCCGCAAAGAGCCGCACGAGGCCGCAGTGTGGGCTCGGGTGTTTGGCTGTTAGCATCGCGGCGGCGCTATGTGTCTGTGTTAGCATCGCGGCGGCGCTATGTGCCTGTGTTAGCATCGCGGCGGCGCTATGTGCCTGTGTTAGCATCGCGGCGGCGCT